AGGATTGAAGCAAACAGTGGGTGCTTTTCTAATCCTGATGTTTTCCCTTGCGATGGTGTCTTGTTCAGCTCATTTTTTGGCACTGGCCATTGCTGCAGGTCAAAGTGTGGTGTTTTTAACAACACGTCTTATGGACATCTATTTTGTGTTTATGATGGTGAGTAGAAACTATGTTTCTATGCGGGAATTTTTCCCTTTTTTCTTTTTCTTTCATCTGCCCTATAAACCCACTATGGATTGTGTAGATTGTTTTAAGGGCCCATAATATAGTTAATAATTAAAGGGCACACCAGCTTCCTTCTTTGATCTTATGCAGGGTCCTTTTTGTATTGTACTATTTTGCTTTGTTTTCACTACTGTTCTAACATAGCTAATATAACTTAACTGACAGGACATGTCGTACTCCTTGATGACATCTTACAAAATGGCAGCTATCATAAAATGTCACTAAGAAGTATCTTTTAAAAGCTTATTAGAAGGGCCAGGGATATGGCTCAGTGGCATAAGCACCTGCTTGGAAAGTGCCAAGTCCCAAGTTTGATCCGTGGTACTGGAAAGAAACAAAATCTTAGCAGAATGAATCAGAACTCTCAAAACCAGAAGAATTAGGATTCGCCACTTCCCTTATAAAAATGCCAGGTCACCTGCCTGGCTTTCATGCTTATGTTAGAGAATTTCAGACTGTTTAACTACAGTGGAAGTGATACGGTTGGGTCACTAGTCTCCAGGGTACAAGTGAAACTCCACAAAATGTGTTACGGTGTAGGTCATGGGAAGTCTGTCTTGAGCGCTTCTTATATTTTGAAAAGGAGTGTTTTAAAAATACTAGAAAGTTCCAAAGTCCACAGTATTAGATTATCTCCTCTCTGGATTTCTAAGAATCAGGTATAGCAATATTTTCCTGGTTATCTTTCCTTTAATGGTTACTTAGTCCTAATAATAGACAGTGATAAACCTTGTATTCACATAGATGAATCAACAGATAAACAGAACCACTTGCCACATATTTTTCCCTACTAAATCAAGTTTACAGAAGTGCTTAGTTTATCAATACACATTCTTTTTGGTAGAGTAAGAGTAGATGCCTTTCAGTGATACCTAATTAGCACAAGCTGTTGCCAAAGTTAGTTGTTCCTTCAAACCTTGTTTATATTGCCTATGCAGTCTTCTAAAATTGGAATAGTAAAGAAAATGTCCTTCAGTAAATATAAATCTTTGGCTGATTTATGTGATGCTATGATTATTTTGCAAATGTTTTCACATGGAATTTAAGAATGAATCATAAAGCTGTATCTTACTTAGAAGATGTATTATATACTAAATACTTCATTGGCTCAAGTTTAAATATATGCAGATATGCAGCAGCATTGCTCTTGTCTTGCCTATCTCAGTCCACCATCATGTTGAATAATCCTTCCTACCATCTCAATTGTGATGCTGTTTTGAGGTGGATTTAAATAGAAGTATTGACCACATTTCCTGCTGTACTTTTTCTCATTATAGTGTTTTCACTCCTTCAGTTTGGGTTACCTTAAGTCTGACTTCTGAACAGTAAATTACTCCTAAGTTATGAATGTAGAGTACAAATCCTTGTAAATGACAAATCTTATTTTATATGGAATTGAGTAGCTGTGATGCTCAAGATTGTTCTGGTGTGTTCTTAGATTGCCAGGTTAAGTAGGGGGACAGATGGTGGAGTAACATTAGAATAGTCAATATGGTTGGTCCTTTGCATCCCAGGCTTTCATGTGCAAATATTTAACCAATCACAGGTCAAAATCATACAAAACAAAAATTATATCTGTGCTGAATGTGTGCAGTTTATTTTGTTATTTATTTATTTATTTATTTATTTATTTTTTTATTTATTTATTTTGAGGAACGAGGAATTGAATTCAGGCCCTTGCACTTGTCAGGCAAGCCCTTATTTTCCTGAGCCATTCACCAGCCCCCTCGTTTTGTTTTACACAGGGTCTTGCTATGTAGTTCATACTGGCTTTGAACTCAATATGAACTCACTATGAGTCTAGCCTAGAACTCGCAGTGATTCTCCTGCTTCAACTCCCAAGTGCTGGTACTACAGGTGTGTGCCACCATGCCCAGCTAGGTTTCTTTCCTTGTCATCATTCTCTAAACTATTCAGCACAATTTTCATAGCATTTACATTGTATTAAGTACCCTAAGAAATCTGCAGATTATTTACAATATACAGGATACATATATCATAAACATGGGACACAAGGAAATATATACCATTTAAAAATAAAGGACTTGAGCTTCTTCAGATTTTGATACTTGACAGAAGCTGAGAGGCTTCTGGAACCAGTGGCACTTGGACATCAAGGAATGACTTACTTATCTTCCCCAGGACTGAGGACTAAACCCAGGGACACTCTACCACTGAAGCATTTCCTTGGTTGTTTTTTATTTTTATTTTTGTTTTATTTTATTTTATTGCATCTTAGTACAGGGTCTACTGGGTTTCACTACATAGATTAAACTCATAGAGATCTGCCTGTGTTCAGCCTCCCAAGAGCTGGAATTACAGGAGTGCACCACTACACCCAGTCTCCATCACCATCTCAGTGCGTTGAGGGGCAGGGCCAGCATGGCATGCCAGGGATCACACCCTGAACACTGTGTCTGCCTAAGCAGGTGCTTTAATCCACTGAGCTATTTGGCTGGCCCTCATTTTTTTTTTTTTTTTAGAGAAAGGGTATCACTGAATTTCTCTAATTCTCAATTTGCCTACCTCAGCCTCCCTTAGTGCTAGGATCACAGGCTTGTGTTACCATGCCCTGCTGTGATTACACTTCTGAATTTTCCACTGTGTGTAGTTATGAAAAAAATTGGGATCTAACATTAATATTAAGGGTCTTCCAAATAAATGGAATCTATAATATAGATCATGGACATATGACTTCCTCTAAAACCGTAGTAGCCTTAGCGTGCAGAATTATTCATATGCAAAAGAGGAAGGTGAGTGTTTAGAATAAGTGGAAGGAATTTCTAGATACTGCTATAGTAGAAATGTTTTAAATGTTGTACAGGTGTTTTTGGTTTTGTTTTTGTTTTTTAGGTTAAGAACAGATTATATTTCCTTGGGGAAAGAAAGTTTCTGCCCAAGAGAGGGACAGAAGGGGACCCAAGTGGGTTGCCCTGTAGAGTTCTTGAGATGGTCTTCTTTAGAATTCTTCATAAAATAACTGGACTGGTTCTAACTTTTGCTTTTTGTTTTTTGTAGATTTTTTCAGGTATCACAGTAAATCTTAGAACCATGGCACCTCAGCTTGTGTGGCTTCAGTACTTCAGTATCATGTTTTATGGCTTTACGGTAAAGTATTATTCACTCTCATCCTGACTAATTTCCAATGAGGGCAAATGAAAATAAAGCTTAACCATGTCTTTTCCTAAGCCACGGGCTGTGGCCATTTCCTATTGAAAAACTTTCTCTCAGGATCAATAGATGAGAATTGACCAGTAGTCTTGATTAACACAAACTCAGGAAGCCATCTAGGGTTTTCCTCAATTGTTTTACTGTGTGAGGAAGATGCTGGAAGGGAAACAGTCTCATAGTAAAGGAGAAAGAGTGTATGATTGATGAAAAACATACTTTGTTCAGCTCAGTAAGGACAATGAGATGAAATTAATGAGCGAACAAGAGACTAGAAGATGTAGCTTGTATTGAAGGGAACATCAGAACAGAAGTGAAGACCATATAATATTCATAACCATATTGCCTTTACCAAGGTAATAAACTTCAAACAAAGCTATGTATCTTTCTATAGTGTAAGCGGGTTTCTAAGAACTGTAATTATAGCTAGTTTTAATGAAAAGAAACAAAAATTCATTGCTGTAAATTAACAATATTCCTTTCAGTTTAGTGTTTATGGGTCTATTGGATATAAAAGAAGAAAGTACTCTGGGGAAATCTATGCAGAGGTGTATCTTGTTAGCCAGTCAAAACCAAATCCCAAATCTAGAACTTGAGACTGCCAGAGAAAATAAGGTTATTTGTTTTGGTGTGACAAAGCCTGTGAATATGGCGTTTACTGTTTTTAGAAATACCATAAGGACTAAACTAGAGGAAATAACAGTGCTTATTCTTTGAGAACTTTTTTATTTATGATTTATTTATGTGGCACAGGGTCTCTCTACACAGCATGGACTTATAGTGATCCTCCTGTCTCAACATCCCCAGCAATGGGATTATAGGCATGCACCACCATGCGTGGTCTCAGTGGCTGGCAAGGCATGCACAGGGTTCCAGGGATAGCATGGCATGTGGTACCAGGAATAGAACCTGGGTCCTTGTGCTTGCCAGGCAGGCCCTTAGACTGCTGAGCTATCTTCCCAGTCCTCTTTGACAGCTTTTTTTAAAATTAAAGTTATTTACTTTGTCATATTCTCACATGTATTACAGGCTCTGCAACATAATGAATTTTGGGGAGAAGACTACTGTGTGGGACTCAATACAACAGAAAGCAGTAGTTGTCCCAACTATGTAATGTGAGTTTGTATTCAGTGTCCTAATGCCTTTTCTTACTGCTGTGGCTTGATGTAGAGTGACCTTCAGGTGTAGAGCTGGTACAGGTTCTTTCAAGGTCAATAAATCATTCTGGACCTGCACTTTCTTAATCTTAAAGTGAATTGTTGTGTACTAATGCATGGATGGAAACATGCTGTATTTGTGTTCTGGTACAGTCAACATGTCTTTTAAAATCTTTTTTTAAATCATTTATCTATTTATTCTGTACAAGGTCTCACTACTAAGCTCAGACTCATAGTGATCCTCCTGTCTCAGCCTCCCCAATGCTGGGATAATAGGTATGTGCCACCAAGCCCAGTTTTGGTGGCCAGCTCAGCACAAGGTCAGCATGGCATGAGTACCAGGGACTGAACCTGGGTCCTTGAGCTTGCCAGGCAAGCTCTTAGGCCATCGAGCTATCTTCCCATCCTCAACATTTCTTTAGTGTACAGAAATATTTTGGGCCTTTTGGAAGATTATTTTCATGTTTTGATTGTAGGTTTGAAATGTCTCTTTAGGACATTTTCATTTAAATTAAGCAGCTTTCAGTTTAGCATAGGTTTATGCTTTCTGCAGAACATGGTTGATAAAATGGTTAAAATAATTATTGTTTTTAAGTAAGCATAGAGAACATTGCTCCCACTGGGATTCTGTACTTCCCCTTCCTTCATATCTTTCAAAAACATCATGAAATTAAAGGACACACAGCTCTGTGTGTGTGTGTGTGTGTGTGTGTATGTGTGTGTGTGTATGTACCAACTCAGAACATTCCCTATTATAATATATATGCTGTAAAGAAAGAAACATACATTTCAATAGTTGAGAAGGAAATCTCACTCTTACATAATATTGAAACAAATACAGGGTTTAATAATATTAGGGGATATTGTTTTACATTTCAATAGTTTTCTTCTTTGTAAGTCTTGCTAATATTTGATTTTGATATATAATAAGAGAAAAGATAACCCTGGTATTCTAAATATCTCTTATCAATCAAATATAACTAATAATGCTTAGCATTCACTTCCTCATGTTGGGAAATTTTCATGTTGTCTTCTTTACCCAGCCCCCTTCCTTTGGCTTCCTCTGGGTGTTGTGGTTTTGTAACATAAGGTCACTGCTGGCCTACTGCTGGCCTCAGGAGGAAGTGGGTGGGAAAAGTGGGAACAGATAGTGAGGAGTTGCTCATCCTCCTGAGGGGAAAGATCTAGTCTCTCATAACACAGAAGAGATATTGTGGATTTTAGAAAAGCTAAATTTTAGCATCCAATAGAAGCACAGAAATGGTCACAGGCAATATTTGTGGTTACGTTAGATATTTTCAGTACCAGGTACTTTTCTGTCCTGTGGCAGGACCTTCCATCCTGCTCTGCTCTGGCTGCTTTGTGAGGTCTGAGTCTGATCGTGGGCCTGCTGGGAACATTCTGCAGCTAAGTCCTTGCAGCACTCACTATAGCCTTTGTGTGAGAGCTCACAGAGTGTGACTCCCTCCAGAAGGGCCTGCTCCTGTTTGGTCTTATTGTCAGAGATTGTAGCCTGTCTTCTGGATGTCAGTTTTGCAAGTCAGAACAGGAGATATCATTTTATCTAGGCTATAAACATTATCAGCTAAAGCTCAAGATTACACACCAGGAATAAATGAAAGTGTACTTGATAAATGTTGGTTTTGAAAAGAGTAGCATCACAGTTAAGCAAGTAAAAATGTGGTTCATAATATGATTCTATAATTGCATCCAAGTTCGTGAAGCCTACTTCCACTATTTGAAATGTGTGTAGTATCTAGATCCTTTTGGATTATTGGAGGGAGTCCCTAATCTGTTGGTTAAAAATTCTCAGCATAATATCTAGCAAAATTGTAAGCACTGATTTAGCTATTGCATATGAAGGTTAATTATTAATAATTTGGCTAACATGTAGTTTCTTTTTAATTAAAGAACAGTGAATATGTTGATTAAACTTGGGAGCTACTCATAATAAACTTATATTCTGTTTGTGTTTTATTTCAGATGTACGGGTGAAGAATTCCTAACAATCCAGGGCATTGATCTCTCACCTTGGGGCTTGTGGAAGAATCATGTGGCTTTGGCTTTTATGATGATCATTTTCTTCACCATTGCCTACATAAAGTTGTCATTTCTTAAAAAATATTATTAAATTTCTTTAGTTTACTAAAGATTACTCTCACAGTAAGAGGAGCATTAAAGGGGGCCTGCCTGAT